AAGGTTGTGACTATATCAAGAGTGACTATAACGAGGTCTGACTGTATCTGAAAATAAGATCTGACTAAAATTTATAAATAAGTCATGCTTTTTTTATGCTTACGATAACTGATTTAACTTTTTTTGTTTTATATAATATATTATATATTCTTTTAAGTATATGTTAGCAGATTTATTTTTTCATGTCATAATATATTATACTTTTATTTGAGCTACATTAGTTGATATACCATATTCTGCTATAAATAAGCACCTCTTTTGATCATAGTAAGGGGTGCTTATTCTCGGCAAAATTTTAATTACTAATAATTCCAAATATTAGAATCTCCGATTACTAATCTTGCAAATCATTTTAATACTATCGCAATATATATTGAGTCAAATTGTTTTTAGGTTGAGTTAAGCTTGACTTGGTCAAATTAACCAAACCTAAATATATATAAATTTATTAATTGACTCAGTTAAATTTATTTGACTGAGTCAAGTTAAACAATTTGATTGAAATAAATTATTACATATAAAAACATAGTAATGATAAATTTGTGCTACATACATATAAATATGAAGCTAAATAATAAATACATAAATAATGCTATGCTTATTTATTTTAGCAGACATCAACTACTACATTTTAAGTTATTGTTACTACAAGCACAGCGTTTAGAAAGACAATTTCCTTTACAATGACAAACTACTTTACTCACAAATGCATATTTTGTTTAATAACTGCTGTAAAGAAAGTTGGATGGGTGGTATTTCGGTCAATTTAGAATAGATATACAGTATATATTATCATTAGTAACTAATCATATTATTTAATTTGATCAATTTGACCGGGTCAAGTTTAACTTAATCCAAAAACCAATATGACCCATAACATATATATTGAGGTCAAATATAAGAATTATTTTCGCTTAATCTTGCCATAAGTTACATTTAATCATATGGTTACCCAATCTTAAAATGATTTTTAGAAATAAATCTATACATATGAACAATAAATATATTAAATTTTTAGAATCTATAACTTACAAAACTAGCTTCGTATTTTAAGGTTCTTTATTTGATAAAACTGTTTTCTTATTTCAACTCAACGGGTTATACCCTTTCAGAATCTAGGTTAAATTTGAAGATTAGATAATAACTACAGCTTAATTAGAAGTTAAGGTGTATTGAAGAAATTTTTTGATCTCAACTCCCTTGAACTATAAATAAATTTTCTCCATTATCTAACGGTGTAACATCTAATCTATCGATCCAACTTGTAATTCTTGTAGCTTAGTCTGGATTAAGCCGGGTTGAATCAATAATGATAAAATACTAATAAACCACTAATATTTGGGATTATGCAGTTTAGGTGCTCGTTTTTTACCTTAACGATACTAAGGGAGTTTGTAGATCGTCGTAACAATGAAGGGTGAGTAATTGAGAGTATAAGGTAGTAAAAGGTAGTAAAGTAAATTAATAGTGTTACATAAAATATATAATTAAGAATAAAAAAGCAAATGTAAATAAATAGTCATTCAAACAAAATAAAAAGAATAAGCACAAACAACAATAAAAAATAATCGTGAAATTTAAAAAAAAATAATGTCTATCGACAGAATCGACAAAAATTCTTCAGTGTTTTATCTAGGTCATCCAGTTCAATTACCTTTAATCATTTATTACTACTGCTATTTCTATAGTAGATTATCATCGTGTTCAGGGTAAATTATCCTGTTGCGCAACATTTTACTTTAAGATTTTCCTAAAATTGATCATTATCCAAAATGTGTTCATCCTAATAATAATGATGATGAGACGTAAGTAAAAAAAAATAAATGAAATAAAAAATAATAATACCAGTAATTTTAAAGTAATTAGAATACTTGACCGATTTTTAATATTTCTTGTCGCAGATCATAATTTAAAATGAAATCTACATTTTCTATTCAACCTTCTAACCTTCTAAAACCCATTTATACTTGTTTAATATATTTTACTCTAATTCTAACTCCTAATTCTAACCCCTAACCCTAAAAAATAAACACCAAAAAATTTTATTTTTCGAGATTTTATATTATTATTTTATTTTAATCTGAATTTCATTTTAATCAGCCACATTTCTTGATGCGCTTCAAGCAATATTATGATACTTTTTGATCATATTGTATTGTGTGAATTGGAGTGTGAATAAATAATTTTTTTTGGTCATTTTAAATAAGAAATTAGTTACTTTTTTTCTTACTTGCATTTTGTTGAAATGAAAGAAAAACGTAAAAGTTACTCTGCAAATTTAAAACTTGAAGCAATTAATTACGCCAAAAAAACGAATAATCATGCTGCAGCACAAAAGTTTAATGTTGACTATACACAAGTCAGTAGGTGGAGAAAAAAAGAGGAGGCAATAAAAAATGCAAGAAAGACAAGTCACAGAGTGGGCTCTGGTTCTTTATCATTATATCCACTTGCTGAAGAATTATTAAAAGAGTGGATAATGAATTGTTGTCTAAGAGGAATAGCAGTTATATCCAAAGATGCTAAATGTCGTATGACTAGTTTACTTACTCAAGAATTTAGACTTTTATACCCTGATGCTGTCCATAACTTTAAAGCCTCAGATCGATGGCTCGACCGTTTTATGAATCGGTTTGACTTCTCTCTTCGAAGACGTACCAAGACTTCTCAGAAACTTCCCAAAGATTTAGATGAAAAAGTTACTGCATTTCATGAATTTATTAATAATTTGCGTAGAAACAATAACTTTGACCTTAATTGCATCGCAAATATGGATGAAACCCCTGTTAATTTTGATATAGTGGGTGCTCTTACGCTCGATAATCGTGGTGCTTGGTCAGTACCTATACGTACAACAGAAAATGATAAGAACCGATTTACTTGTGTCTTGGGTGTACTGGCAGATGAATCGAAACTGCTTCCGATGGTTATATTTAAAGAAAAAAGGGTCCCTAAGGGACATTATCCTCCTGGAGTAGTTGTTAGAATGCATGAAAATGCTTGGATAGACGAAGAGTTGATGATAGACTGGTTAGAATCGGTTTGGGAATAAAGACCTGGAGGGCAAAAGAGATCATTATTAGTTTTTGATTCATTTGAAGAACATCTCACTACATCTGTAAAAAACAAATGTTATGAAACGAATACAGTCTTGGGAATTATTCCTAGCGGACTTACACCTATAGTACAACCTTTGGATATAAGTATCAATAAACCCTTTAAAGACCGATTTCACGAGAAATGGAATACATAGATGGATACCAGGGAATATAAATATACTAAGGGGGTAGAATGAAAAAACTGAAGCATGACTTAATGTGTCGTTGGATCATGGAAGTATGGAATGACATCTTGACAGAAATTATTATCAAATCTTTTAAAAAGTGTGGTCTTTCTAATGCATTGGATGATGATGAAATTGAATATGATATAGTGTTGGAGGATGGAAATAAGGAAAATAAAGAAATAATTGCAACAGCTAAAACACATAATGCGGAAGTTACGGAGAGAAATCACTTGATTGGGATAAATGAAAGAGAAGTAATAAATGTTGTATTGTACTAGTGAGTAATAAGTTACATGAATTTTACTTTTATGTAGCAGAAGCAAAAATAATGTTAATGATTTTTAAGTTTGAAAATGTAACTAATGCTAAATATTGTCTATTATGTATTAATAATTATTATCCCTGCATATGCTAACTATTATAGAAGTCTACATATAGTAAACTATATACGTAGAAATGTATATTTGTAATTCTGGCACTTTCCTATTTCACACATTATAATATCAAATTAGAATAATCTATTTGTAAAGCTGCAAAAAAAATTCAATAGTTCATTAGATATTACTCAAATAATCAATATCAGTAATATATATTAGACACTTGTATTTAGAAGATATCAATTTACAGAATTCTTCATAAGATTTTCTAAATGAAATTGTTCAATAAATGTGTGTAATCTGCATAACGAAGCAATCAAAAGGCAAAAATTCTCATTTAATACTTGATACATCAGAACAATTTCTAATAAGACGCAGTTAATATTATCAATTTTTGCTTATGGGGTCATATATTTTTAATATCATGTATGCAAGTTGTTTTCAATATATAATAACTGAACCCTTTATAGAAAGTTAGATAGCTATAAAATATTAAATTTAGTTCAGTTCAGTATAATAAGTGTTAACTTCCGGAAAACTTTTTCTAAAAGACTTAATTTATTATAAAAGATAGTTAATACAATTTAAATGAAAATTTAAATCCGAATTAGGTGAATAAGCGCTGATAGTTTAAAGAACATTATCATAGCTTTTTAATTTATTAAGAAGCTTTTTAATTAAAAATCTTGACGATTATGAAGCTGCTATAGTTCGAGCAAATCATTCAATCCTTTTACAATGTGGGATATTATCTATATAATGAAATCCAAGGTGGCCGAAAAAATTCATTATATAGCAAGTTTGTTATACCCATATAATTTATATAATGGGATTAATACTAGAGACATGCTGAATTCCATTATAATGATAGTTGAAAAAAAAATCTAATTTTTTTTTGCATTCCTGATTGATTATAAGTTGTTGCATTCTATTAAATTTGTTATATACCGGTAGGTTAGAACTTTATAATGAAATCAGTATATGGGCTAGCAAAGATGTCCATTATATATATTACACTTTTTATTATTAAATCTGTTATAACTTTATTAAATTTCCTCTTAAAAGTTTAGTACTTAAAATTTGGTTTGTTAAACTGATGAATTCAGTTTAAAGGTGTTTATTGACAGTATAAATAACTAGAGTATGTGATATTTTTCTGCAAGTGAATATTTTTTGAAGCCTTTTTTTAAAAAAGATATTCAATGTTGTTTGCAGATCGATCGATCAATCAATTAATTTAATATTTGGGAATTTTTAAATTCTGACATTAGAGATTTACATATAAGGGTGCTTATTCATGGTGGGTGCTTATTTACAGCAGAATACAGTACTTTTTGCTTCGTTTATATTTTATTTAGAAGTAACTATTATATCATCATTCAATAATTAAATATAACAGTATTATATATTTAGTCTAAGATGAATTATATATAAGAAATAATTTTTTTTCTTTTTTTTTCTTTTCTTTAAATAAAACTATCAAACAAATAATATCACTAAACAAAAACTTTTTTGATATTTTTGGTTATACAGTTTTACACTTATTTTTTTTTAGAAAAATGTGAAGCAGAAGACCTTTTAAAATAAATACTGTATGCCATCATCGATCTGTTTTGCCTTCTATATTTATCAAATTACAGTTATCATTTAAGCCATAGCCACAACCACTCTACAACTCTTTGCAGTGTTTGTTTAAGCCGCAACCTCTTTTCAACTCCTACCTGATCAAACTGAAACAATCGTCAATCAGAAAGCTGTAAGCAAAAGTCTAGGTCTAGATCTAGATCATCAAAAAACAATAAAAATAATAAACATTCTAAGTGCTGTTCTAGTTCACAGGATAAAAATGATGAAGGTGAAATAAGGCTATATGAAATTTTTTATACTTTATAGAAACTTGCAAATAAGCAATATTAATACTATTTACAATTAATTTAATTTTGCAAGTTTTAGTAAAGTTTCTTTTTTTTTTATAAAGCTATTGATTTATCGATAGGTCTAACAAATTATTTTATAATCCTAGTAATAAGTTTTTTAAAAAACACAGTTTATACTTTACTTAACAAAGTAAAAGAGTTAAAAAAGTCATCTTGACCCCTTACACTAAGCACACTCCTACACCAAGCGTATCTCCTACACCAAGCGAACAATATGATTATAGTAATACCGATAATTATCTAAGTGACAAAGAAGTCAGAACCTCTGATACTACCGGTTTTTTGCAACTGTTAAATAATTGTAATCTAATAGATCTGGAGGATGAAATGAACAACATTCATCACTCTAGCACCAATAAAGCTAATACCAATATCAACACAAACAACTTCTTCATCAACTTCTCCACCACTAATAAAGCTAATACCAATACCAACACAAACAACTCCTCCACCAACTCCTTCACTATCAAAACTAGCACCAACACTACAAACAACAATATTGAGTCAAATAACACCAATGATAATGAATTCCAATACTACTACTAACAAAAATAATAAAGGCAAACAGCAATGTAATGATAATAACTGTAAAAATCTATCAATATCTCCTGAACTACCTGGTGGCTATCCTAAAAGACCATATGAGATTTTAGAAGATATGGATGAAGATCAGTATAAATTGTTTCATATATGTGATAAATAAATATCGACAAGTAAAAATTAGAAGTTTAAATATAAGATAATAGTTATTTTGTAATATAATATTTAAACTTCCTAGTTTTCACTTGATGGTACTTATTTTTAAATAACAGAGTTATCAGTTTAATTGATATTTATTTTAATGTGTAGAATAAAATTATTCAAATCTTAAGTGGCCTTGACGATTCATTGTATTTAGATCATACCAAAAAATGAGCCGAAATATCTCATCATATATCCAAGAATATTATGTTCACTGTTAGTAAAGCCTTGGAGGACAATTTTAAATTTAAATTGAGTGAATTAAATCATGTCCTCAAAAACCTTCATCAATACCAACATGAATTATGAAAAATTAAACAAGACCCAAAAAATTTATGCTGAATAAAAAAAAAATAGGAGTAAATAGAAGGTGTCAAGAAGTAAGTATGGTCTATTTAATTTCTTATACTAATAACAAATAACTTTGAAATTTTATACAAAATTGTATTATATTTGTATTATATTAACTATGGTTACTATTGATATACGGTTAATATAATACAAATATAATATAAATTTATTTTTATATTCATTATTTTGCTAAAAGTAATTAAATAGGTCTATTATACTTTTTTTATTTTAATAACAATACCGATCTACCAATATTAATTATAAATCATCTATTTATTTTATAGAAAACAAACAGACATATCAGAGACATTAATCATTTGGTTAATGCCAAAGATAAGAACCTTGTTGCTCTTTCTCCAACAATGAGTTAGGACGATTTTATAGCTAACCTTGAATTCATTATTAATATCGGTGGCTACTACTCGGATGAATTTTCTAAAACAGATATAGAAAGGGCACAATCGGAATACTGATTGAAAATTTGTTTCAAAAATTAAAAAGGCTAGTGATAATCACGTGCTTCGTATTAAGGATAAACCATAGAGATCCCAAAGAGTAAGAAATTATAATAAATATTATAATTATATTATAATTATTATTTTTATATTTCTTTACTCTACATAAATTAGGTTAAAAAAATTTTGCAGCTCACTGACGAAGTAGGCAGAAATATTGCTAAAGTTAAGTATACTAGAAAATAATACTATATTGATTAGAGATGGGTTGATAAGTCTATACTACCAGATGATGATTCTGTCTAGACTATTTTTTCTTCTTATCATTCTAAAAGTAAAAGTAAAGATGATGATGAAGAAGATGATGAAGAGGAAAATAATGATGATGACGAGGATGAAAATGATGAACTAGAAGACAAAGGAAATAGTAGTGGCAAAGAATAAAGAAAGAACTAATACTACTGATGGAGAAAACCAAAGTGATTGAATTGAGAATTTCTCTGAAAATTATTAAGGATAACTTTGTTTTTTTGCATATATTATTGCTTTTTTTTACTTTGTAGTATTGTTTTTGTTTATCACTTTTTTTTTTACTTTGTAGTATTGTTTTGTCTATCACTTTTTTTTAAAATTGTAATATTGTTTTTGAAATGATACAAATAAAATGTTTAATAAAGTATATTTAATTATATTGCTTTAATTAAAAATATTTTAGTAACATCTAATAAAGTATAAACAATCATTGCCAATATAAAAAAATTCTATCAACTAAAGTAATACAGTATGTATATCAATATATCTATATACTTTTGAAAAATATATCATATTACCGATATTTTTTTAAATAATAATAATATTACTACAAATAGTATACTATAAGACTCTGATATATTAATAAGTAATTAATATCGATGAATTAATATCAATATCAGCATTATCGATATTGCTAGAAATTTCTTCGATTGAAATTCGAAAGGTATCTGATTCCTGCAAAACTTCAGGTTAATATCAGATACCTTCTAGTTAAAAATTGGCAATTAATATCAGTATATCTTCAACTCACATTAGTACTCATATTAGTACATATCAGCATTCTGATATTTCTTTGATATGGCTTCTTTTGACCTGTGGTAGAGTTTAGGGTTAGGTTTATTAATAAATAAGTATATATAGATTTTATAGACTCTAAGGATAGGCATGAGAGGTCTTTGGTTTCATTTAATCAGATTTTATTTTAATCTGCAACAATTAGTAATTAATAAAATAATATAAATATTTTATAATAACTCAATTAATAATCAATTCTTTTTGATGATTCTTTGGTCAACAACAACAAAAACTAAACTACAGCAAAACAATATAGGAAAGCAATAAATAAATACTAAACTTAGTTTTATAGATAGAAGCAGCTTATTATTAACAAAATTTAAGTATCTAGACATAATATACCAAGAAGGGGATATTAAAAGAACAAATAGTTTTTCTTGAAATCAAGTTTTTTCTTTG